GTAGGTGTGAATGTGAGTGTGCTTGGTTGTCTGTCTCTAAGTGTGGCCCTGTAATAGACTGGCGACCTGTCCAGGGTTTTCCCTGCCTTCACCCTAAGTCAGCTGGGATAGGCTCCAACCCCCCCGCGACCCTAGTGAGGATTAAGTGGTGTATAGACAATGGATGGATGGATGGATATATATATACATACACACACACACACACACACACATATATATATATAACAATCCTAGTATAAAGATTTAGAATATCAAAAAACTTTGCTGAAATGCTGGTGTTTATTTATGTTTAAGTAAAACAGAACTTTTCAAAATGTATTAAGTGTTGACAGGCAAAGACAGACAACATGTAACCAGTCAGACAGTGCTGTGGGCTGGACATAGCCTGAGTCCACTGATTGGTATCTTCAGATAGAAAGGTGCTTTCATCAGAGCCAATATAACGTATTTTTATTTTATTTTTTCACAAATAAAAAAACTATCACCTTAGTAAGCTGTATATTGTACCACCACCACCAGTGTACATAGGTTAATTTAATTATATTTTTATTTTATTTCTTATTTATACTGTTTTTTTTTTTTTTTTTTTTAATGCTTTTTCTTTGTATGGCACGACGACGAAGGTGAGCGAGAAATGTGTTTTTGGTTCCTCTGTATGTCCGGGATATATAGAGAAATTGACAATAAAAATCTATTCTAAATCAAAATGCCGATAATTGGTAAAATGCTGAATATTAGATCTGTGAATCAGTTGACTGCTAGACTGGAATGCTTTTTTTTTTTAATTTGTGAAAAAAGTACAGAAGGGCATGGCTTGTCAAATTACTAGCTTGAAATGGCTTTGTTTTCTCACGCTCATCAATTAAAGAGGGGATGTATTTTAAAAAAAAGTTGAAAAACAAAAAAAAGCCTTAAGAAATTTACCAGTCATACGTGTTTGACTGCTCATTTGCTTTTGAATTGCCCCGAGGGGATGAATGAAGTTAATTGAATTGACATGTGACATGTAAAAATCAGTGGGATTCACCTTAAGAGAAAACAACCTTTGCCTCTGTAAAGCCTGGCATCGTTTAGCTGTACCTGTCGCACAGCTTGAGTTTGTGACAGAAAGTTCTCCATTTTTTGAAAAGTGCTGTTTAAATGTATTTAATTGTCACTATGGATTTGTCATTTCCAAAGGTTGACATGTTGAAAAGGTTTCCTGCTGCTTCAAAGACTGATGCAGGACTCGCCAAGGAGTTCCAGGAAATCAGGTGTGTTAAATGACATGCTTAGAAATAGTGATAAAACAGTGACATTGGGGATAATATAGCTTTTCTGATATCCACATACAGTATACGTTAAATGTCATGATTGTTACAGTGTTGCATTGCATCAAGCAGACCTTTGCAAAAGTTTAAGAAAAAATGGCTAATCATGCCATCTTTAAAGGACAGCTTACTTGTAATTATTCTTTTATTTAGATTGCAGAATTTTTGTTTAAATTGTGTGAAAGTCATTAAACAGTTATACTTACTTGTTGTTTGTGAATTGCAATGACCTCCATGGTTTATCAAGTAAACAATTTATACAAGATTTAGACATCAAAACAATGCTTTGTTCCAAGTGTCTGTTACAGGACCTAATTAGAAATCATTTCCATCCTGTTTTTTTTGCTGTGGATTATATAACTAACATCTGTTTCTCTTGAGGCTGCTCAACACCGAGCTGCAGAAGGAGAACGCAGAACTGAAACAGAGGATGAGCGAGTACACCGAGCGCTACGGTGAAGCGTCCTCTAAACAAGGTGAGACTCCCAATACTGAACATGACGCTGTGGGAGATTTTTTCTAACACAGCTATTTTTTTTCATTACTTTTTATTAGACTTTCTCAGACTAAAACAGTCTTAATTTGACATTTTAAAAAATGTAAACATTATGATCTGCATATTTCCTGTATATGTCAACCTCTATATATTCAGCTGATGTGGTTTGTGACTTTGCACAGCATGATTTTACTTAAAGTTGACAAAGCAACTTAATCTGATCGTGTAACTTGTTTGGAGGGACTATCATCATTTCAGCTGTCTTTCCTGTTGTATTCTTAGATTACGGGAAACTTAAAATCCTTCTGCAGGCAGCTGACACTGAGAAAACCAAACTTCAAACCGAAGTCAGAAAGCTCAAGAAGGAACTGGAGAGCTTTGACCCGGCATTTTTTGAAGAGATCGAGGACTTGAAGTATAACTACAATTTAGAGGTCAAGAAGAACATTCTGCTGGAGGAGCAGCTGAAGAAGGTGTGCGATCAGTTTGGTGTTGAGGCCGAGTTGCCCAGCGTGTCCATCAGTTAACTCAGGATCACGGTGCCTTTTGCTGCAGCTACAAACGGTAACGCTACATCTGAATGTAGTTTTAGGGTTGCTGGTTTTTAAATTAAGAATATTTAAGTCCAACACAGTTTGAATATTAAAATCACATTCCTTACTTTGGAAATTTAAGGTCAGTTTTTTCACTAAGGCAGCTGTTTTTGTGTTAATATGTTGATATTAAGATCTTGCTTTTACTGTGTAGTATATTTATAAGCTTTCTGTTTTTGCCAATAAAATTATTTTAGTCCTGCATTTTAAATTGTCGGAAAAGTCAGTTAGATATAAATGTTTACATCCTCATCATTTATTCTTCACTCAGCAATGAAACAGTTTACATTCAGTATTTACAGTATAGAAATTGAACGTTTTTAACAACTTAAGGTGCTAAACACGTCCACTTGGTCAGTTTTACATTAAAGCTGTACACAATTCTGCAAAACAAGTGGCAAAGTATCTTCAGGCTCTAATACACTCCACTGTTCCTCTGTGCTGCCAAACGATGTGTTTTCACACCTCGTAAACCGCTCTGGTTAAGACTTTCAGCTATTTGTGTTTTTAAAAAGCAGTCATTCTGCATCATTGATTTCCATGGAATAAATTAAATGCTACAAACGGCGAATGTTGAATCACTTGTCTGGAATTACTGGTGAAAGTATCTGTCGGCACAGTGACAGATCCTTACAGGGTTAAAGCTTCAGGAAGTGGAACGCCTGCGTTTACGGTTCCAAGTGGACGTCCTGAAGCCGGCTGAAGCAATGTCCGTTTAGTGACAAAAAGGATGTGAACAAGTCCTTGCTGTTGTTGTAAGCATCGACTAGCCCATCAACTCGAATGAGCACCGGCCTAGTACCAAAGCAGGTGTCCCCATCCGGCCACCTGAGTCCCAGGTGGTGACGATGAACCTGCCAACAAAACAGCCAGAGAGCATCTCACACCAGCATGACAGCATTTATATAGAAACTGCTACAGATGGGACTGCTAAACCTTTTAATACAGCTAGGTAAATGCATTTAATGTTTTAAAAAATATATTGGAATTTTCAAAAAAAATCGTTTTTAAATCTTTTAATGTGTTCAGTTACAAAAGCTCACAAAAAGCTTCGGTCCAGCTTGATAACAGTGTGTGACGTTGTCCCACCTTAATGAGGGTGCCATCGTTGCAGTGCCAGACGATGCCCTCGACTCGGCCCTCTGGACTCTCTTGGAACCAGGAGCACAGCTGATGAAAGTCCACGGGTGGGGGGTTTCTGATTCGAATGCTCCCGTGTGACACCAGGCAGTGGACGGGCTGCTTCTTACTCCCCATGCCTGTGTGGAGCATATTACTGAACTTCAGTTCAAAAGGCTGACAAGGTACACAGACATCTACCTTGACTAATTATGAGAAGTGTTCGTTTATTTTTAATTTCCAATAAAGTGAAATCATGATACACAAGGACAATATTTAGGATGTTTTGGTTGTCACAAAGGTGTTAAAGCCATAGGTTTTAGGACTGGTGGACTTCATCTTTCCGCTGTTAAAGTGGATTAGGGCTGAAACGATCCCTCGAGTAATACAAGTAATTTGATTGCTAAAATGTCTCGAGGCTTTGTTTAATCCACTGTATACTATATATGCATGATACAGCGTGGATGTCCGCCTGGACGGTTATTTCTGTTGCACAGTGCGCTCACTTCCAAAATAACCCGCAGAGAAAATAATGTATTACTGTTAAATTAAGCTAAAGTAATTTAAAAAAAAATTTTCCTGATTACTCGATTAATCACCACTATAATCAATAGAATACTCGATAATTAAAATAATCGACAGCTGCAGCCCTAAAGTGCATCTTGGCTTTTTGAATCCAGCACTCATTTGAGAATCATTTTTACAGCCTACCCAGAGCAGCAAGTCATCCTTCATATCTATGACAATTACTGGCACATGCCTGTCTCAATGCAACAATGTAAAGAATGTGCGGTCCCGAGGTAATGGCATGAACGCTGCATCACTTTACCATAAGGGTTTCCATTGACGTTGGTTCCAATGAGCTCCAGTGTTTGTTCCTGGAGGTCAGCCAATGGGACAGCAGCGACTTCTAACCCGTCTTCATCGTCAGAGCTGGGCCTGAGAACAAGAGCTGCCCCGACACCGTAGTCCACCACAGAGGAGTGCCAGCAGTACTGCTTGTTGTCCTTCTCCACTGGAACCCACCCTGGATGTTTACAAGAATAAGGTAGTGCAAAAAAACTTACAAAACACATACATCAATGTGACAAAGTCTAGTTGCAGCAAAAAAGCACAATATTAGAGTCATCTGGAAAAACAAAAACTCCCAAGAGCATTTATTAAATTATTGAAGTAGTGTGGGTCTGAAGCAGAGGAGGCTGCATTTTCAGGACTGCAGTTGTAGGACCTTTGGTTTTGTTGGGCCAGAAAGCAAGGCGACCAACTTTGTACAGTTAAAACTATAAATCGCACACTTCAGCAATCATCCAAACAGGTAGGTGGGGCTGTTGCAATAAACAGGGGTCCTAGAAGTGCAGTCCTGAAACTGCAGCCTCCTGCACTGTTCACATAATATTAAGTTTCTACCTCATGGAAACAGTTTGAACACTCTAAATTACATATAATTTTATTCAGTGTAATTTCCCAATACAGCTGCTTCAGAGAGTATTAAACCCTTAACTTTTTGCACACCACTCTGTTGTACGTGTTGGACTTTTTTCCCCATCAAACTAGAGTCAATAAGTCATGTTGACAAAGTAAAAGCAACTCTTTAAATTATTTTTGCTAATTTCTGACAAATCTAAAAACTGAGATCTCCTTTACAGAAGCATTCAGAGCTTTAATTTAGTACATTGTAGAATCTCCTTTTGCAAAAGTTGCTGCTTTGAGCCTTCTTTGCTGTTCCTCTATAACTAGACGCTGAGACATTCAGCAGTTTGTCCTATTCTTTGTAGCAGATCCTCTTATGCCCCTTAAACTGAATGACTGACAGCTATATTTCTCCGAACCACTATACAAAGTTTACTCCCCCTGAAGTGCAAATGCATTTGTGTTGATTGAATAATGATTTGACACACAAATCAGAACCTGGAATATGTCCGTGGTCATCAGGCACCGGATGGCCGTTGTAGTGTTTGACTCTGTGAGCTGGGATCCACGTCTCCGGCACGGTTTTGAAATCTTCCTCTACATTCCACGTGAAACCTGAACGAGAACCAAGAAAATAAAATAAAAAAATTACACTCGTTTCATCTCCCTACAGAAATTATTTTTGCCTATAAATTGTGCAGAATTCGCAACTATTACTCAAGCTACAGTACCTTTACAGCTCTTGTGGGAATGTTGGTACTTTTTAAACCTCTTCTCCGCCTGCTTGGTGGGTTTCCTGTCGAGGCGAGCCCAGAGGTAAGGCTGCCCTACGGAGCAAAAATCACTTTGGTTCAGCATGGGAAAACACAATAAAACAACCATCACGCCTCAAGTATAACTTCAGAAAACAAAAAGCTAGGCTAGTTATTGTGAGATTTATTCACCTTTATAAACTGTCACATAACAGCAGGTACCATCCAGCTTTTCTGTGGCAAGTGCACAATCTATGTTAGCATCCAGAGCGACAGGATTCACATTTTCAGTGGCAACAACCTGAAATTGCTGAGAAGTGGACAGACATGGTGGATTAGTCCAAGACAAAGCATATCATGCACTTATATCAAACATTACTGAACTATACAGTTTTATAACTGAAATAAATGAGAAGGGATGCATTCTAAATGAATCATCCACATATTGTACATTCCTCAACCTCAACATTGAAGCACTGACTGTGTGACAGTGATGGCTTTGTTACAATGCAATGTTCTGCCAGGAAACCTTGGTTCCTAGCACATATGTGGATGTTACTTTACCACATGCCACTCACCTAAACATTGCTGCAGACAAAGCACACGACGTGTGTCAGCATGTAGTGCAGTCAGTGTGGCTAGCATTAACCAATTGATCCAGTTGATCGTATGCTCACAGTGCAGGGCTCTGGGGAAATTGTAAAGCCAAGGTGTTGAAAAACTTGAAGACCAATTTGAAACAAATGAACAAGGACTTGGTGTGTTATTGTGTTTTCTTGTTGCCTGTTGTGCTCCAGTGGAACTTAAACTCTGTGAGTCTTTACATCTTTGCTTCTCTCCTGCTTTCTGTGCTCACGTACAAAGTGTCAGAAAGGTTTCAGGACTGGTGTCACAAAAGATATATTATTATCGTATACTGCATAATAATCCAGCCGAATTCCGAATATAGCTGCTTCTGCTATCAGATGACAGGACAAGTATAAACCAGTGAATTATATGCAGCCAGTGTTGGGCACATTACTTTTAAAAAGTAATTATTAACTATAGTTACTTCTCCCAAAAAGTAACTGAGTTAGTAACTGAATTACTCCACTGTAAAAGTAACTAGTTACCAGGGAAAGTAACGATTGCGTTGCTCTTTTTTTTTTAAAGTTTAACTATGTCTAAGAATTCAGATTTTTTTTCTAAGCAGGTTTCACAAGTCAGTTGAATAGAGTAGAATTGCATAGACAGGTCCTTACACAGAACTTTTAATATTTATTGCACCTCAACAGAGCACAACTGGTAGACATATTGTACTTCAAGTCTTTTCTTCATCAGAAAAATACACAGTTTAACAACATAACAATTAAGTGCTTTTAACTCTGTACATAGTGTACTGTTCAAGTATTTTCGGTAAAATAAAAGTAAACAGTTTAACTATGAAGTGCTTTAACTCTCTGCAGTGTAAATTAAGTAAATCAAACCTTCATGCAACTGGTAGACATGCTGTACTTCAAGTATTTTCTTAAAGACAAAAGAAACAGTTTAACCATATGAAGTACTTTGAACATCGTACTGAAAATATGAATTACTTGCACAAATCCAACTTTAGCTCCTAACCATTCACTCATCCATCCATGCATCCAAGCTGGAGCAGAAAAATCCAGCCTTAGCTGCTTGGACAGCATGGGTCCGTGTCCTTCTTTGTTAGCGGAGCTCACATTAGCCACACCTGGGCCGCTATCAACAACGGTGTTTTTGGGCACTAGCTTTGTAGAAGCGTGTGCTGTTGGGAGATGCTTCATTAGATTAGAGTTGCTTACAGTGGACGTGGACAAACCCTTCGCTACGGGACATAATGTACACTTCACACGTATGCTCTTGCCTTTTCCTTCAAGGAGAATAAAATAGTGTTGGTACTTCCACTTTGAAAACACCAACTTTTCCTCCAGACTCGCCATTGCTTCAGCGTACCTGCTAGTTTGGGTGTGTAGGGCTGCATGTGTGGTTTGTGTGTAAAGTGAACACTGCCTCTGATTGGTTAACCATGAAAACAAGAAAAAGGTCAACAGCTTTGCAGCTCCTGTGGCTGAGAGCCAGGATGACAAGAACTTCAATGAGTAGCTTTAGTTTAAAATGCGCCCTATTTATTGTCGTTAACAGTAACGGCATTGTAACGATGGAAATAGTAATTAGTTACATTACCCATTACTGAAAAAAGTAACGCCGTTTATTTTAATGCCGTTATTCCCATCACTGTATGCAGCCCATAAAGACTACATGTTAACCAACATCACTTTCAAACCAAATCTGCAGCTGATTTCACATCATCTGACAAACTCACCATACACTTGAGTAAAAAATATCGGCTGTGCTGTGAATTTAATGACATTTTCATTTAGATAGCTGCTCATAGAGAGAAAGTCTTGGTTTAACAGTCATGGCAAAATGAACCATCTTAAAAAACTGAAAGGCACATTCTGAGGACATGTGGACTTCCATGAATTGGCTGAAAAGAGGCACAACATGGGACTTTTAAAGGACCAAAATGGAGTCTGGTTGCCTTTAACTATAGCACTTGGGATTAGCATGAATCTACACAGTCAAGTTTTTTTTTTTACGACAAAATATCATACTTTAGTAATTTCTGACTACTACTGTTTATTTCATTTCATGTCAGAGATAAGGCTTTATTGGCGTTAACTAGTGAATGTAGTGAGCAGACTATGAGCATCACTGTACAGCTACTGTCTGTGTCTGAGTGTTCCTGTTTGCTAACAGCTGAGGTTGGACCAACAGAGCAGGCCGAGGAGGACCTACAGCCACATGATAGCAGCCCTTTACTAAGCTAAGTGTTGTCAGTGTCAGTTTCACTAAAATAATAAAGGAAAAGGAGCTGTTCATTTATCAAACCTGATGCTGGTGCAGGTGCTCAATGCAAACAACACATGAGTCCACGTGTGCTGCTGTTTGCAGCTGCTCTCACCTGACAGTCCCGTTTTCTGGACTGTTCTTCCCTCACGTCGGTCACAAACACACACGGTATCTTGTGCTGAACGGAGCCCAGCCGCCGCATCGTGTCGCTCCTCCGACAGATAAGTTTTCGCGGAAAGGTTGGAGATCTGGGTGAGCAGGCAAAGATGTTACTGGAGCTTTGGTTCAGTCATGGATGGATGCGTGCATGACGGGATGCCTCTTCCTCTTTTTCTTCCTCCTCCTGCTTCTTCTTCGTGTTGGTCGGTTCGTGAACACTGACTCAGTAGCGACCCCATGCGTGGCGGCGTGGAACCACAGCCAGGTTAACACAACGTATCAAGTACCCCTGACTTGCAAGTACTCCTGACTGCACTACGCAGATAGGGGCGGGGCTCAACGTGGGCGGAGTCAAACGTTTGCCCCAACGTTTAATCCCTCCCGCTGATGCGAGGGTGTGAGCCCCGCCCTGATCTGCGTACTGCAGTTAGGGGCTGCTCAAATCACTCCCTATGCCCTATATAGTGCACTATATAGGGTGTACGCCATTTTGTAGGAGTGTCCGAATGTTAAGTTACAAATGTTGCACCCTATATAGTGCACTCAAAATATCCCACAATGCACCGTGAAAAGTAGTGTACAGCCGATGGTCACTAACCGAGCAATATGGACCGTCATGCATTGCGCGAAAGGAAACCGAAACTAGACTAATGACAGCGCAAAAAAATTCCCGTTTGTTTTGTTAAATTTATTTTACCCAGACAGTGAACGTCGCTAAAACAACACCACGTTATTTAAATTGCTTCAAGTTGCTGGATCCTGAAGAAACACTCTTTCATCTGATATGTACAGCAAAATGACAATAAACTTGATTTAATTTGATTTCTTAGCAACGCAATAAACTGTGAATTTGATGTGTTTGTACTACGCTGTTGCGGCACAAATCGCTGTGAGCGAGCAGCGTAATTAATAGCTCGAGTAGTGTCCGAAATGTTACTTTGCCGAGGTGCTCCCTATATAGTGCACTACATAGTGATCACTATGTAGGGAGTAGGGAGTAGGGAGTGAGTGGGTGATTTCGCACACATCCATCCATCCATCCATTATGTATACACCGTTTAATCCTCACCAGTCTATCACAGGGCTACACTTAGAGACAGACAACTAAGCACACTCACATTCACACCTACGGACAATTTAGAATCATTAATCAACCTCAATATGTCTTTTTTTACGTTGGAAAAAGTAAAAAGGAAAAATGATATTTTTTTAATTTAAAAAAAAATAAAAAATTTAATTACCATCTGCATTCTGGTAAATTGGATTTCTTGGCCCTCAAGTGGGCGATCACAGAAAAGTTTAGGGATTATTTGTAATACGCTCCCTTCTTCACAGTTTTCAGTGACAATAATCCATTAACATATGTGTTGTCCACTGCAAAATTAAATGCCGCAGGGAGCAGGTGGGTAGCTGAACTGGCGGACTTTAACTTTATCATCAAATACCACCCTGGCAAAGATAACATTGATGCTGATAGTTTGTCAATGATGCCAGTAGCTGTTGAGGAGCTATTGAAATAGTGTACTGAGGAGATGTCTTATGATGCTGTCAGAACAGCTCAAGCTGTAGAGATGCAGCCCGAGTCTTGGTCAATGGGCATTGCTGTTAACAGCCTGTTGGACACTACAACTAACTCAGTTGTGGCATTAACACCAGCACAGTTAAAACAGGACCATCAGGGTATTGACAGGACTGTATCACTCATTAGGGATTATTTTTTCTGGCCACACATGCAGCGTGAAACTGAACAGTATGTGATAAGTTGTGCTTGTCCTAAACAGAAAAAGCCCAGCAGGGAGTCAAGGACCCCACTTGTGAATATTGTTACAACTCAGCCATTCGAACTGGTGTCAGTGGACTTCCTCCACCTAGACAAGTGCAGAGGTGGGAACGAGTACATATTGGTAATCGTAGATCATTTCATCCGATTTACCCAGGCATACCCTACCACATCAAAATCTGGCAAAACTGTGCCAGACAAAATATTCAACGATTAAGCCCTGAAATTTGGGTTTCCATCTCGCGGTGAATTTGAAAACCAGTTCTCTCAGTTGAACAAATATTGCAGTGTTGCTGGATCCAGAACTAACCCGTACCACCCACAAGGGAACAAACAAGTAGAACGTTTCAACAGGACTTTGTTGCAGATGCTCAAAACTCTCACAGACAAAGACAAAATGAACTGGAAAGACTCTTTAAATAAGCTCACGTTTGCTTATAACTGCACCAGAATCGAGGTAACTGGATTTTCTCCCTTCTATTTGCTGTATGGCTGCTCCCCAAGACTACCCATTGACATGCTGTTTAACTTGCCCATTGAGACAGAGGAAGGTAGTCAGCTGGAATATGTTGAAAGTTGGAGAAAAGAGATGCAGGAGGCATTTAACATTGCAAGGGAAAATGCTTACAAATCTGCTCAGAGAAATAAAAAGACATTTGATGGGAAAGTTAGGAGCCCTTTATTGTACCCAGGTGACCCATTGCTCCTGTGGAACATGACTCCTCAAGGTGGCCCTGGGAAGTTAAGGAATCACTGGGAAGACCATGTCCATGTCAAAGGCAAGACGAGAGTAGTGCATCGAAACCTGCTCTTACCCTCTGACCACCTGCCACTGGAAACCAAAATGCTTGCCTCTATGGAAGCAAAACAGGACACTGTAGTACAGGCTCCTGTCAGAAAGGAATCAGAGGATGAAGATGACAACGAGGAACTCTACATTCCACCACCTAATGTCATCATTCACCCATCAGTACAGGAAAAGGACACGCCTGTGATAAGAGACTATGACCCAGACACAGATGATTCGACAGCACCTGCTCCACTCCAGCTTGAGGATGTCTCTGGAGTTGCGGATGAGCGGGCTGATGATGCTGAGGTGTCCTCTGTTGCCAGCAGCCAGAGGATGAGATGGAAATAAGACCTCAGTACCCTCAGAGAGATCATAGGGCACCGAAGGTGTTTAGATAAGACACACTTGGCAATGCGTCATGTTGTTGTGTTGCTAGAGCACCACCTTATGGACCTCAAGCGTGGCTTGAACTGATAGACACATCGAGCAACCCCAACTTTTACCCTTGAAGGATGTGAAACAAATACTGCTTTGAGATTTGAGTTTATGTGTTCTAATATCTCTGGCAAAAGATTGGCAATAATACAAGGTGATCACTTTGATAGACTTTGGTAAACACTGTGGTACGGATACTGATTGTGACTACTTCAATATGTAATCAGCAGGGAGGGGCGGAAGGTGAATAGAGGTTCAAACCTGTGACAATCATTGTACATATGTTATCTGAAGTTGTTACTCAGAGTACTACTTGCAGAAATGTTGAGGACAACATTTATTTTTTGTGGGAGTGTGTAACCAGCTGGCTTAGTATTAGTGATGCAGTTGCCTAGCGAATCCAGTAGGGAGAAGTCACTGCCCTTGAGCTTGATGGCAGGCTGTCTCTTCTTCGTTAATAAATCAACACAGCAGGAAGAAGAGATGTGTCCCTGCATTCTTGCTCATAAATCTTCCCCTTTTTAGGTACGATGAGAATGTATAATGCTAAAATCACTCTCTGATGTTTTATGAAGTGTTTATGCATTGATAGGCCGGTTTTTATGGTATTTGTGACTAAGTTGTGTTGGTATGACACAATGATTGAGCTCCGCTGGCGAGGTCCCTATTGGCGCTGCTGCGTCGCTGTGCTGGCGTAGGAGAGAAATGTGATTGCTAGAAATGCTTGAATCTGTTTTGTAATCAGTGTTTGAAATAATTCGGTTACCGATTGTCATGCAGACTGTTTTGTGTGCAGCATTTGAGATGATTTGTTCATAAACCAGCACGGCAGGAAGAAGAGACGGGTCCTTGCATTCTTGCTCATAAATCTTCCCCTTTTTAGGCCCGTTACATAAGGGGGGGGGGAGTCATATGCTCATGCACGCAAACACACAACGAAAAGCAAACTGCGTTACAATCTCAGTATGTGTTTATAGACAGAAAGGCCACAAGTTATATCGAGCCATCTTCAACCACAAGAAGAACAAGGAGTCCTGCAGCTCATGATGTGACTCCAACGTACTAAATGTGCATATTTACAATTACTTTCATAAAATACCAATCAAAGCACTTCTATTTATTTCTGACATAGACTGGCATCCATTAGGAAACAATGTTGTTCTGCTATTCATTCATTTAATTTCCAAAACTCCTAAACAAGTGTCTCAAAGCTACTCCAAGAAGTTTGCTTTGATGTCTGGATGCACACACAGCGTAATATCACTGGAGTACTTCCTGTACGATTCTTCTTCCTCATCATCGTCCTCTGCTGCACATTGGCTGTGTAGATCCATCTCACTGTCGGTGTGTTTCCACATCTCTGTCTCTATGTCATCCCTCTGCTGCTGCAGAGACCAACAGCTCAAAATATTCCTGTTCCAAAAGAAGAGGGGAGAAGATTGTTTAAAAATACAATATACAGAAAAGATTATTTTCCACTCTGGTATCAGTTTACTAAAGCACCTCCTGCTGCAAAGTTCATAACAAAGCTAAGTGTTATACATGTATAGGAAATAGTAGGATTCTTTTTTTTCTCTATTCCAAATCCAAGTAGCTCTTTCTGTTTTAAAATCATTGTCATAAAGGTTTTAGCCAAGACAAATATGCTGATACATGTGACAACATGACTCACAGTTTGTAGTGCCACATAACACCTGCTGCTGTCAGGAGCAGGACAATGATGCCAAGAATGATGAGTGCAGTAGGTACAACTGGAATAGGCACAAACACACACGAGTGATTAGCACAAAGATCTGTTTGAATGATATTACATAGCTGCATTATTACACTGTAACCTTGCTGAATTCATTTATTTATTTTCTATGTACGGTAGCACTGTAGATTGTAGTTTTGCCATCGTCCCCTCAAATCTGTTGCAAGGTACAACTTGAAACTTTTTTCATATGCGTTACACATTAACGCTATTATCCCTTTCATAAGCAAAATGTTGGCAGCAAATTTGTGTTTGATTTGCAGCAAAGACATTAGTTTAAAAAAAAAAAAAACAACAGCAACAAAAAAACACTGCCACAAGTTTGCCAGTGCTGTCCACTCCATTCCCAACAACACTGAACACAAGTTTTCCACTGCAAAACATATTCGCAAGTTGTTTGCTACTTCGGTGCTTAACTTCTAGTAACCAACTGGTAACAAGTTTACTATTAGTAACAACATCTCAGTTTATGATTGCCATAGACAGCATTTCAGGCAATCATAGTATTCATTCATAGTTTTTCAGATATTTTGCTGACATTTGTAGTTAATCGTTGGCAGTGTTGCTGCAGAAGGGTCGTATTTTTATGTGCAAACTAGCTCTTTGCGAGAATGTTTAGTTTACAACAAGTTTCGTTTACAGTAAGGGCATTTTATGAAATTTTTGACAAATCAGCCAACTAAATTGTTACCAATTTCTTCACCAATATGTTTGTAAAGGTGTGTTATAACATACCTTAAAATGTTGAAGTTTAACTCCCGTGGGAAACCCTGAAAAAACCTACTCAAGTTAGGGTACCGATAAACAATTGACGAAAAATTGATTTTTTTAAAAATTGGGCCTGAAGTATCTTATGAGGGGTCAAATCAGGGTTTTTTCATGATTCTGAGTTGATTGTTAGCATTTATATTTCACCACAAACACTCCATTGTTGATAAAGGCCACACTCACTTTTACATTTACATTTACAGTAGCTTTTATTTCACATACTTATATAATACTCAGAGTATTCAAGAGTCATTGTCTATGTCTTCTTCAGACTCAACAGCGTTATGACTGCAGTTTCTGCATGTACGAGATGCTTGTGACCCCATTACTCTTGCAGCTGCACCGCCGTTTGCTGCAATCTCCATGACAATTGCAGCTCGTGAACTTCAGTAGCTCCTCAGGAGTCATGGGGTCTGGGAGTAGATGGGAGTAGATTCACACTGAGCACATGTCACAGACGTGACAGAGCCTGGAGATGCTGTGGAGAATGTTCTGCTGCCTGCAGCATTCTCCAGTACGACTGGTTTGGCGGTGTGTCAGTTATGGTGTGGGAAGGCATTTCTCTGGAGGGCCCACAGCCCTCCATGGGTTAGCCAGAGGTACCTTGACTGCCATTAGGTACCGGGATGAGATCCTCAGACCCACTGTGAGACCATGTGCTGGTGCAGTGGTCCCTGGGTTCCTTCTGATTTATGACAATGCTAGGCCTTGATGCTATGGACTGGCCTGCCTGTTCCCCAGACCTGAATCCAACTGAGTACATCTGGGACATTATGTCTCGTTCCATCCACCAACGCCACGTTGCACCACAGACTGTCCAGGAGTTGATGATGCTTTAATCCAGGTCCGGGAGGAGATCCCTCAGGAGAACATCTTGCCTCATCAGGAGCATGCCCAGGCATTGTAGGGAGGTCAAACAGGCACGTGGAGGCCACACACACTACTGAGCCTCATTCTGGCTGGTCTGGAGGAAATTCCACTGAAGGTGGATCAGCCTGTAATGTGATTTTCCAGTTTTATTTTGAGTATGATTCCAAATCCAGACCTCCATGGGATAATAATTTAGATTTACACTGATCATTTTTATGTTATTTTTAAGTCCGAGGTCATAGTTCTCTGCCGGAAACTGATGGATTGCCACCTCCGGGTGAGGGGGGGAGTTGCTTCCTCAAGCGAGGGAGTTTAAGTATCTCGGGATCTTGTTCACGAGTGATGGGAAAATGGAGCATGAGATGGACAGGCGGCTTGGTGCGGCGTCAGCAGTAATGCGGGCACTGTACCGGATCGTCGTGGTGAAGAGAGAGCTGAGCCACAAGGCGAAGCTCTCGATTTACCAGTACATCTACGTCCCAACCCTCACCTATGGTCACGAGCTTTGGGTTGTGACCGAAAGAACGAGATCGCGGATACAAGCGGCCGAAATGAGCTTCCTCCGCAGGGTGGCTGGGCTCAGCCTTAGAGATAGGGTGAGGAGCTCGGACGTCCGGAGGGAGCTCGGAGTAGAGCTGCTGCTCCTTCGCGTCGAAAGGAGCCAGTTGAGGTGGTATGGACATCTGGTTCGGAGGCCTCCGGGGAGGCTTCCTCTGGAGGTTTTCCGAACACGTCCACCTGGGAGGAGACCCCAGGGCAGACCCAGAACCCGCTGGAGGGATTATATCTCTCGGCTGGCTTGGGAATGCCTCGGGAGCCCCCAGGCAGAGCTGGAAAGTGTTGCTGGGGGGAGGGAGGTCTGGGACAACCTGCTCCGCCTGCTGCCCCTGCAACCCGACCCCGGATAAGTGGAAGACAATGGATTGATGGATGGATGGATTTTTATACGATTTTTTAAAGATTTTCAACTGGAATATTTCATTCATTGAGATCTAGGATGTGGTATTTTAGTTTTACCTTTATTTTTTTGAGCAGTGTATAAGTATGTGAAATAAAAGCTACTGTAAATGTAAATGTAAAGTGAGTATGGCATTTTTCAACAATGGAGTGTTTGTGGTGAAATATAAATGCTAACAATCAACTCAGAATCATGAAAAAACCCTGATTTGACCCCTCATAAGTTACTTCAGGCCCGATATTTTAAAAAATCGATTTTTCCACAATTGTTTATCGGTACCCTAACTTGAGCAGGTTTTTTTCAGGGTTTCCCACGGGAGTTGAACTTTAACATTTTAAGGCATGTTATTACACACCTTTACAAACATATTGGTGAAGAAATTGTTTGGTAACAATTTAGTTAGCAGATTTTGAGATTTTTCCCTTACTATTAATTTTTATGTGTGTGTGTGTGTGTTTAAAGCATCTTAAAAGTTATTAGTTATTCAAATTGATAGCTTCATTTACAAGTTTACATGCAGCCCCTCTCAGTCATTTCAGCTCTGTTAGCATGTAAAGCAATGCTTCCAAAGAGAAAGGAGTAAATAAAGAATCTTGCAACGTCTTGGAAAAACTGACACAAAACTGACAGAACTTACCTCCTAGAGAAGGTTTTGCAGAGCTCACAGACTGAGGCAGCACTGACTCGGAGGAAACAGAGAAATTGGAGGTATGAACGGAAGCAGAAAAGGCAAAACTAACAACAGTTGGTTTTGAGGTGATAAGGTGAGGAAGAGAAGCAGGAATATGGGTGGAGAAAGGTTTAAGGGAAAAGGAAGCGGAGGAGGAAATCCTAGTTGAAGGCGTTGTCTCAACCAGGAGAGCAGATGAAGAAGTTGAGGGTGTCTGCTCAGGGGATTCAGTTATTATCGGCTTTATTGTTGACTTGGTAGTTGATCTGACCGAAGGTGTTGATCTGACCGAAGGTGTTGATCTGACTGAAGGTGTTGATCTGACCGAAGGTGTTGATCTGACTGAAGGTGTTGATCTGACCAACGGTGTGGCAAGTGTTGAGGTTTGAGTTGAAGCTGTCAGTGTGGCAGAAGATGTGAAGGATTGTGTGCTGGGTGTTGATGTTTTCTCAGTTTCCTCCAAATCTGCAAGTGTGGACAAAACAAAAGGTTGATTTTGTCCATATACAGGATATGAACATCAGTTCAAGCTCAGTATTTGCTGAGAATGCATTTGAAAAAAAATATCTTGATGTGTTTAAATCAATAAAATGATGTTAAGCTCATATAGAATTTCTGCTTGTGTCCGTAAGTAAATAAGTAATATAAACCCCATAATGTCATTTTGATAGTTCTAAACATGTCATGGATAACTTGGGATTTACAGTAAATAGTAAACAAACAGTACCTGATGCAATAAAGCAGAAGACATTAAATTTTGTATCTGCTGATGCATGCCACGTCACCACACCAGTTTTGCCTTGTCCACAGTTTTTGTTGGATATCACTCGTGGGATAACCGCAATCTGTTCAGCTACCCAGCCATATCTGTTATATAAAGATAATACAATATGAAGTAAAATAAAAATGTTTTGGTGAAAGAAGTTTGTGAAAAAGAGTGCTGGTGTACAACATCACTTTAAAGAGAAACAGCTGTTTTAACTGATACAATGGTGATGATACAATGATACAAAGAACACTTTCACATCTGACTCATTTACTCTCGACTTTTGGACTTTTTGGTTGATCCTATCAGGGTATATTGAAACATCTCATACTGGACTATGTAACAAAAAAACATCAGACTTCTATTGTAAATCCTGCATATTTTATG